AGCATAATATTATATGAGTGCAAGTTTATTGACTTAGTGATAATCAGGTTAGGAATATAAGTGAATTTATAGGTCAATAGAAAGGTTGGATCAATTTATTAGAGGACAAGATTATTTTATCAATTGAATAATTCTTTATTGAATGAATTTATTGAAGAGCAGAAATACTCTGCTTATATAGGCCTTATAACAATGAGATTACGAACAAGTCTTATATGTCTTTTAGCTTCTATCACTCTTAAAAGATATATAAGATCTATCACTCCTTTAAGACTTATAACTTCTATTACTCCTATAAGTCTTATAATACTTTTAAGACTTATAACTCTGATCGCTCCTATAAGTCTTATAGGACTTTTAAAACTTATAACTTCTATCACTCTTATAAGTTTTATAGGAGCTATAAGATCAATAGCTCCTATAAGCATGGGATCTCTAAAAAAGTCAAGGATTGACTTAGCTATAAAATTGGACTGCGGCTAAGTCATATAGTTCTGAAAAGAAAGCTCGAAACCCAATTCTCTTATATGACAATAGGTTAGGTAAACAGAGTGTTTAAATAGGTAACTTACAAATAGGTTACAGGTATGGTAGCTTGTGTAGAATCAAACAAGTAATCTACCTGTTAGCAGACTACTTAAATTAGATAATAACTAAAGTTGTATATATAGCAGGTTGTATACTCTTCATGTAATTACAAACTATAGGGGATTGTCAATAGATGACCTCATATATTAAACTAATAAAATCTGCTCAGCATAGTAAGCTATCTTTATAAAAAAAAAAAAATTATTTATTTAATAGATTAAACTATTTAATAAATTTGATCAAATTATTTGACCAATTTAATCAGACTAGTTTAACTAATAAATTTTTAATTGACTAGTAATTTAACTAATTCTGTTTATAATAGTTAAAGTTTTTACTTTTAATTTTATTTAAATTCAGAACTATATAAGACTTTCTTTTTTCTTTTGCTAGTTAGTTTGTTTTATTGTTCTACTTATTATCAATATAACTTTTAACTTTTTTAAACTCTAACTTTATACTTTTTTGCTTAATAATTGATGTAATTTTTTTTGAAATTATTCTATTATCTATTCTAATCTATTTGCTATATTGTTTAGTATTACAAACTTTTATATATTTTCTATTATTTGTTTACTATTTGTGAGAACTCTAACTATTAAATCATATTATACTATTAATATACTAACTAAATACTTACTAACTTAGCTTTTATTAATATTAGTTAATTAATAACTTTTAAACTTCCTATACTAACTACACTATATGCTATTCTAACTATTCCTACTTATTTA